ATTTAATGCAATACCCCCAAATTACAAACAGCATTCTTCTCAGACCTAGAAAAAACAATATAGGAATTCATATGGAAACACAAACGACCAAGAATAGCCAGAACAATCCTCAGCAAAAAAAAAAAAAAAAAAAAAAAAAAAGACTTCAAACTTTACTATAAAGCTACAATCATCAAAACAGCTTGGTATTGGTACAGGAACAGGCATATAGACCAATGGAATAGAATTGAGATTTCAGAAACAAAACCTCAATTTCTCAACCAACTCATCTTCGAAAAGCCTGCACCACCTACCACTGGGGAGAGGAGAACCTATTCAGTAAATGGTGCTGGGAAAACTAGCTGACCACATGCAGAAGACTCAAACAGGATCCCTATCTATCCCCATACACAAAAATTAACTCTAACTGGATCAGAGACCTAAATGTAAAACCTTAAGTCATAAGAACTTTAGAAAATGCAGGACACACCCTTATGGAAATTGGAACTTGCATCCAATTTCTGAGTAATACCCAAAACGCACGGGTCATAAGAGATAAGATAGACAAGAGGGACCTCATCAAACTGACAAGCTTCTGCAAAGTCAAAGAAACCATCAAGAGAGCAGGGAGATAGCCCACAGACTGGGAAAATGTATTTGCCAACTCCAGGTCTGACAAAGGCCTAACATCTTGGATCTATAAGGAATTCAAACGTGCTGAAAAGAAAAAAGCAAACAACCCCATTACAAAGTGGGCAAAAGATATGAACAGGAACTTCTCAAAGGAAGACATCCAAGCAGCCAACAGACACATGAAGAAATGTTCTACCTCACAAATCATTAAGGAGATGCAAATCAAAACCACACTGAGATGCCACCTAACTCTAGTCAGAAGGGCAATTATCAGTAATTCAAAAAATAACAGATGCTGAAGAGGATGTGGTGAAAAGGGAACACTTTTACACTGTTGGTGGGAGTGTAAACTAGTGCAACTTCTGTGGAAAGCAGTGTGGCGATTCCTAAAAGCTCTAAATATTGACTTCCCATACGACCCCACAATCCCCCTACTGGGAATATACCCTGAAGAACTCAAATTACTCTATAAAAAAGATACCTGCACACGTATGTCTATCGCAGCATTGTTCACAATAGCAACGACCTGGAACCAACCATGCTGTCCATCAAGAGTGGACTGGATTTAAAAAATGTGGTACATATACACAAAGGAATACTACACAGCCATAAAAAAGAACAAAATCATGAATTTATCAGCAACCTGGATGGAACTAGAGTCTATAATACAGAGTGATCTCTTACAGAAACAAAGATCTGAGTATCACATGTTCTCACTCATATAGTGGACCTTGAACATCTATCATAATACTATAAGAAAAGGACCTACAGTGTGGGAAACTATGGGGGGGTAGGGAGGAGAAGTGAAGTGGAACTAACAGTAGTCAATATCTGTCTGGGAACGGGAAGACACCCCTTATCAACAAGGGTACCTGAACGATGCATATTTGTAAGCCTAACCGTTAACTGTACCCCACAATTTTAAAATAAAAAATATGTTTAAAATGAAAAAATATATATTTTTTCCTCCTTTTTTTCACCTTTAGGTTCTGTTCATTTCTCTTTATTCTGTTCTTCTATTCTTCAGACTAGGCCACCTCAATTGACAAATCTTCAAATTGATGATTCTTCCTTCTAGTTACACAAATCCTTGATTGAATTTCTCAAGAAAATTTTAATTTCAGTTGCTATTCATTGTTTTAACATTACTCTTTTTTTTAAAATTCCTATTCCTTGGCTATATTTTATATAGTGAAATCTTGTTCTATTGAGTTTCTTCTATTCTCTATCCAGATTTTCCTACCTCTACAACCTATTTGAAACAACTGATTCAAAAACTTTATTTAGTAATTTTAATTTCTGTGCTTTTTAATGGACTATTTCTATTAATTTCTTTGATCTCCTGTGAATGTGTTGTACTTTCTTGATTCTTTATGTGATTTTTGTTGGAAACTGGATATTTTTCATATTACAATGTGGCAAATCTGGAAATCAGATTTTCCCCTTCCTTATTGTTCTTTTTTGTTGTTGCTGCTGCTTATTGTGGGTTGTTGTTTGGTTTTAAAGTTTTACAAATTATTTTTGTATAACCCTTATTCCTGTTTTGTGTGGTCACAGGAGTCTCTGATCTTTTACTTTGGTAGACAGCTATTAATTTGGAAGAAATATTATTTACTTCTTAGAGACAAGAAGAAACAATTTCCCTGTCTTTACCATTTGGCTATGTGATGAGGCACTCCTTTAAAGCTCTGCCAAGCCATTAACAATTCTGTTTAGCTTTAACTTCATGCTCGCATGGTGCCCAGTACATTTGCATACCTAACCCTGAATTACACCCCAAATCTTTAAAATAAAAAAATTAAATAAGAATAAAAAATAAACAAAATCAACAAAACTTTAACTAGACTAAGAATAATATAAGAGAAAACTCAAATTAATAAAATCAGAAATGAAAAACAAAACATGACTGGAACCACAGAAAAGCAAAGCATTATTAGAGAATATTATGAACAACCATAGGTCAACAAATTGGAAAACTTAGAAAAAAATTATTAAATTTCTAGACACAGAGCAATTACCAAAACTGATCCATGAAGAAATAGAAAATATGAGCAATTAATAATGAGTCATGAAGTCAATACCTAATAAAAAATCTCTTATCAAAGAAAAGCACAGGCCTTGATGGTTTTCATTAGGACATTGTTTAGAAAAAGATAGTGGGATAATGATGGGTGATGGTGGAGCAGGAAAATGCAAAACTCCAACCTTCCGCCAATTTTTTTTCAAAACAAATAATCCTGCAAAAATTAGAAAGGGGAGGGAACATTAGCAAAATAAGCAATTAAGCCCTTATATTAAAACCACACAAAGACAGCACACACACAAAAAATGTGAACTCAGATCAATATCTCTTGTGATTATAGACACAGAAACCTTCCAAGTATGTTGTCATATAAAACCCAAGAGCATGCAAAAGGTTTATACACCATAAATAAGTAGAATTTATTTCAGAAATGCAACATTGCTTTAACATCTTAAAAATTAATTAACATAATATATCTTTATCATTATAATATTGTTTGACAAAATCTAATACCCATCATCATAAAAACACTTAGTAAACTAGAAATAGAGGGGAACTTACTCAAGTTGATAGATGACATCTATCAAAGACACACAGCTAACATCATGCTTAATGAAGAAAGACTAACTCCAATATTCTCACTTCTGTTCAACATTCTATTGGAGGTTCTAGCCAAGAATAATAGTCAATAAAATAAAATACAAAGAATCCATGTTAGCAAGAAAAAGATTAAGCTATCTCTACTGACATATATACAATCTTACAATAGCAAATCTTTAGGAATACACTATACAAATATTAGACCAATAAAACACAATTTTTATGCTACAAGATTAATTTAAAAATTATTAGTCCACACAATTGCAGTGATATTCAAAATAAAATTATGACTGAAACAGTCACACAAGTTACCATCAAAAAAGATTATAATACTTAGGAATAAACTTAACAAAAAATATGCAACTTGCACTATGAAATCTACAATATACCTTGGAAAGAAATTAAAGGATGTCTAAATACATAAAATTATGGATTGAAATATTGTATAATGTTATAACGACCATACTATACCCCCTATATTGATAAACAGAGTCAATGCAAATCCTATCAAAATCCCAGCTTACTTCTTTGCACAATTGACAAGCAGGCATCAAAACTTTAGATAGATAGATAGATAGATAGATAGATAGATAGATAGATAGATAGATAGATAGTATTCAAGAGACTTAGAAATAACCAAAACAAGATAGATGTGATGGAACACTCTAGTTCCAGCTACTCTGGATGCCAAGGGAGAAAAATCATTAAAGTCCAGGAGTTCAACTGCAGCCTGGGCAAAATAGGGAGTCCCCCACCTACAAAATAAATAGATAAATAAAAAATAAAGCAAAGCAAGAAAGAAGAAAAAGGAAGCAGATAAATTGAAATCCTCATACATTGATGGTAAAGATGGAAAATAATGCAGCCATTATAAAAGAAGAGTCTATCAACTCCTTGAAAGTTAAACATAGTTATCATATGATTCAGTAATTTCAATTCCAAACACATATCCAAGAGAAATGAAAACATGTCCACACAGAATTTTTAAGTGACTATTAATAAATGTTAGCCAACAACTAAATAAAACCAAGAAAATTCATCAGTTGATAAGTGAATAAATAAAATGTTTATATCCATATGTAATAGTATTTGGCAACAAAAAAGAATAATGCTCTTACATATACTATACCATAAATAAATCCTTAACATATTATGCTAAGAAAAATAAGACAGTCACAAAGAACACATATTGTATGAGTTACTTTTTAAAAAAATTCTAGAATAGGCAAATGTATGCAGGCAGAAATTAGAGTAGTGATTCGCGATGTAGAAATTAGGGCTGGGGAGATAAATGCTAAAGTGCACAGGGTTTCTTTTTTGGAGATTAAACTGATAGTATTGATGAATACACAATTCTGTGACTACACTAGGAAGCCTTGGTTTTACACAATAATTGGTAAATAATATGATATATGAATTATAAGTCAACAGAGTTTCACAAAAAATTACTTGAGCCATTATTCAAGATGCTGATTCATCTGAAAAGTCACACAAAACAGATGTTTCTGCCTATGCAAGATTATAATAGCTGTATGATAACACATAAACAAAAAAGAATGTTAAACTTAACTTTGTAAACAGGAGGTCATCTACCTTTTGTTTCTCTTCTTGCCAGCCACATAGACTGTTTATATAATGAATTCACTTTGGAGTATAAAAGTTATATTTTAACTCGATTGATTTACCCTTGGTTATAAGCATGAGAAATGGCAGAAAAGGACAGTAACTGGAAAGAAAGCATTGTGCTGCACCAGGATGTCTATGAAATGGACTTCAGTTCTTCTGTTGATTCATCTGAGCTGTTACTTTAGCTCTGGAAGTTGTGGGAAGGTGCTGGTGTGGCCCACAGAATATAGCCATTGGTTGAATATGAAGACAATCCTGGATGAACTCGTTCAGAGAGGTCATGAGGTGACTGTACTGGCATCTTCGGCTTCCATTCTTGTTGATCCCAATAAAACTTCTGCTATTAAATTTGAGGTTTATCCTACGTCTTTAACTAAAGATGATTTTGAGAGTATTTTTGTGACACTAATCAACAGGTGGCTGTATGATCTTCCAAAATATACATTTTTGTCATATTTTTCACAAGCTCAAGAAATCTTTTGGGAATTTACTGACTATATTAGAAATCTCTGTAAAGATGTTGTTTTGAACAAGACACTTATGACTAAACTGCAAGAATCAAGGTTTGACATCGTTCTTGCTGATGCTCTTTGTCCCTGCGGTGAGCTGCTGGCTGAGCTACTGAAAATACCCTTTGTGTACAGTCTCCGCTTCTCTCCTGGTTATGCATTTGAGAAGTATGGTGGAGGACTTCTACTCCCTCCTTCCTATGTACCTGTTGTTATGTCAGAATTAAGTGATCAAATGACATTCATGGAGAGGATAAAAAATATGATATATGTGCTTTATTTCGACTTTTGGCTCCAAGCAGTTGATATGAAGAAATGGGATCAGTTTTACAGTGAAGTACTGGGTAAGTCACATTTCCAATTGGAGGATGTTACGTCCTAATCTTTCTTGTGCCTTTGAAGGTGAGATTGGATGAATATAAAGTCAAGATGTTTCTTTTAGTGATGCCGATGTTTCTTTTAGTTATATGGTGAAATAAAAATATAAACTGATCCATGAATCTCAAAAATAGTATGGAAAAACTGACACAGGATTAGTACTTTGTGTCCATGACTCTTATAGAACATTCTAAGATGTCATAAATCTGCAAATTAAAGCATTTATGATTGTGTTAAGCAATAACATATCCATCTTACTATACTTTTTCATAAAAAAATCAATAGACATCACTTGAAGGAGGTAGACATATTGATTCAGGAATTACACATATCTTTAGCACAACTATCACTGTAGCATTGAGAAAATTGTTTCTTCTTGTGTACTGCAGTTTCCATATTTAGAAATCTAAATGTCTTTCCATATAACCTGAAGAAGTACCTCACATTTGAGAGATATAATGACTGTATACCAAAAACAGAAACCTAAAACAATTTGTGGTTTCTAATATATCTAAATTATTTCATGAAGAACTTGGAAATAATTTATTTTAATGTCTAAAACCCTGTTGAAGTGTTACCATCCAATTTTTAAATCTGTATTTAACTGAACTGCATCTCCTCATTAAGAAAAATGAACCAAAATAAGGAGGAGAAAAAAATCTCTATTTCAATAATTTCTGAAAATTTTCTATTTTTTGTAAATATATGTACTTTAAAAATAAATACTATTAAGATAATAACATTTTTAAAAAGCAGTAGTAGTTACAAAGATTTCAACCATCATATTTAAAAAGCTAACTTGAAGAACTAAGGATCAAGAAACTTGCTTAGGCCGGGCGCAGTGGCTCATGCCTGTAATCCTAGCACTTTGGGAGGCCAAGGTGAGAGGATTGCCTGAGCTCAGGGACCTTGAGACCAGCCTGAGCAACTTGGAGAGACCTCACTTCTACAATAAATAAATAAATTAAAAAATAGATGGGCACAATGGCGCACACCTGTAGTTCAAGCTACTTGGAAGACTGAGGCAGAAGGGTCACCTGAGCCCAGCAAGTCAAAGCTGCGGCGGCCATGAGCATGCCACTGGGTGACAGAGTGAAACTCTCACTCAAAACAACAAGAAAAACAAACTAGTTAGATAAATTTTAGAAAATAGATTACGTACCTTTTAGAATGTTGTTTTAAGGTATGGTTGGATTACTTGATTGTGGAGCTTAACGAGGTGTTAAAATGTATATTTGTTACACTTACAACTTTAGAGAAAAAACAAATACATGTGTAATTCTATAGTGGTTTATTTAATCATTACCTATAATTGAGAATATACTGATGCGATATTAGAGATGGAGTCTCCTCTCACAAATCTCTTAACATTTTACTTTCATAAATATATATATAAATATATTCATATGTAACATATATATACATAAAAATTAAATTATGTCTATATATAAATATGCATGTATTGTTTTACCAAAGCGTAGGTGCAGTATATATCTTTGGTTACATTACTTCAACTCCTTTTAGAAAAATAGCTGTATATTCACATGGCAGTTCTCTTGTGTCATTCACTATTTGCTTTGTTGCTGTTTTTGTTTTTTGCCAGGAAGACCCACTTCCTTATTGGAGACAATGGGGAAAGCAGAAATGTGGCTCATTCGAACCTATTGGGATTTTACCTTTCCTCATCCATTCCTACCAAATTTTGATTTTGTTGGGGGACTCCACTGCAAACCTGCCAAACCTCTGCTGAAGGTAAAAATATTCCTACTTGCTTTCTTTGTCTACTTTGGATTTTTAGAAGAAATGACCACTTTTTTATCAGAATGTTTGACTCACAGTGGGAGACATACGGGAGGTTAACTAAAGTGACTTGCCATTAGAAACTCACATATTTCTATATCATCACAAGCATGTATATTTTATCATCATTACAGAATAAAGAGGAATCATAGTGAGACTTAAATAATGATTGGTTAAACTAAAACCTTCCTTAGTAAACATATAACATAATATCCGTCATTCATTCAAAGAATATTTACAATGTAACTGGCTAAAACCACAGGTCACAGATGGATTTTTAGAAGAACAAAGTACAGTTTCTGCTCCCACATACCTTACATTTTACTTTGAAAGGTATAAGCAAGTAATGAAATAGTCCAAAAAGTGTTATAAGTAAAGACCTCAATAAGTGAACATCTGGAAGAGATGCCAAAGTCATTGATAATTATGATGAGCCCTGAACAATGTGCAGAAGTAGGTGAGGAGCACACACAAAGGAAAGCAAGTAGAGAAGTAAGGATGGGTCCCAAGGCTCCATGTTGAGTTTGCAAGAAAAGGCTTAGTATAGAGGGAGATGATGCTGGAGGGGTAAGCTGAAGCCAGATAATTGCAAGGAGTTTGAGCATATGGTGAGGGTAGTCCTCCAAAAACCAGAATTTATTTATTTAAAAATGTGTATTTATTCTCACATGTGTAAACTTCAGTCACCTTCAAAGTTTTCTTCGTTTGATGTAATATACCTAGTGAGATGCTTTTTTCCACTGTTCAAAACAGTTTTTGAACTCATCAATTTGATGCCTTTAGTCTTCCTCTGTTTTTTGTCTCACTTCTTCCATATCAGTAAAGTGACTTTTTTAAAAAAACATTTTTCATCAGGAAACAAATAAACAAAAACACATCACTTGGCGTGAGATCCGGTGAATAAAGAGGATGGGACATGAGGTCACACTGAACACTCAACAGTGTGGGCCGGTGTTTTGTCATGGTGGAAGAGTCACTCACCAGTTTGCCACAATTCAGGATGTTTCTTCTGCAAATTGTGATTCAATCTTCTCAAAACTTCCAGATAAAAACTTTGGTCAACCATTCAATTCGGAGGAATAAATTCCAAGTGTACTACAAAAGGCATATCCTCCAAAAAACAATCTTTTTCTTCCTTCCTTCCTTTCTTCCTTCCTTCCTTCCTTCCTTCCTTCCTTCCTTCCTTCCTTCCTTCCTTTCTTTCTTTCTTTCTTTTTCTTTCTTTTTTGTCTCCCCCCGTATATTAAGGGCATTGAGGGGATACTGAGTAGAGTTAAGAAATTGAGAGATATGATCAGATTTAAAAAGTCGCACAAGATGTTCAGTGAATTGGATGACAGAGGGAATAGACTGGAAAGAGCAGATTGTTTAAGGAATTTTGCATGAGATCAGGTAACAGATGATAGAAAAGTCATCTCAAATGTTGACAGAGAAATTATGCCTACATTTACCATAATGATACCAACTACATATTGTGCTGTATGAAAAAAATAGTTAATACAGATAAAACACTCAAAATTTCTCTGATACATAGTGTTTTGGAAGTATTATTAATATTATAACTATTGTTATTTGCTATATTCTCTAGCAAAGACCTAATAAGATACCCTGTGGACTTTAAAAATGTAGATGCTTGAGTTTTGGCACTAAGATTAGCAAGTTGAAAGGCTAAATTTTTACTGTAAGGGCTGAAGTTCTTCAACAGTATTCTAGGTTAAAAGAAAAATAGTTCCTCAACAACATACATGTATGTACCCCAAAAATATTTGCATCAAAGCCCAATGCTTACTTGCTTTCACTCTAGCATTTAAACTATTAATCATTGATATCTCAAGACCTCTTAGAGCATAAAATGAATAGCTCATTTTAAAATACCTCAGAAAATATCTCATCAGAGAAGATGTTTTCTACCTCATGCCAAGCCTATAGTACATCTCAGTAAAGCTTCCTTGGGGAACCTGTGTGTCCACCTCATAACTGCCAGACGCAGAAACCCAGAGAAAATGTACACTATGTGCATAATAAAAACAAAATAAATTCTACCCTTTGTATCTAAAAATCACCCTTAGATTTGAATTGCTAAAGAATTCTGTCAGTAAATGGGATGATATTCCTCATGAAGGAACACAAGAACCTTATATATTTTACTTTAGCATCATACTTTTATGACATAAGTAGAAATGTTTACTATGTTATTGTCAAAATCCTTGAGACATTGTTTTGTCTACCTTCTTGTTAGCAGCAACACAAAACTGAAATTTTATTCAAGCGATAAAACCCAATATTTATGTTGAATGCAAATTATATAGGCTGTCTGTATGTGATAACTTTCTCAAGAGTTAAAAGTAGAGGTATGATTAATGAAATTCTATGCAATCTAACCCTATTATCAAAAGGTTTCCTATCACATTAATAAAAAGTTGCAGTCCTACTAGGAAGGAAAAGAAAGTAGATGGAGAAAGAGGACAGAGATGAAAATGACTAGTAACACAATAGTGATAAGTACTAATACTAGCTGTTTGTATTAACTTATAGAAGAGTTGAATCCAAGTCAATGGTTTTAAAACCTCCCCTCAAATTCTTTATTACATAAAGTAATTATTACCCTTAATTACTTGCTTTTCCATTAAGTATTATATTCCCAAATAATATCTGTGTATTTCACAAGAATGAACCACTTGGCAAAATGTGTCAAATTTTTTAAAAAGGCATATTTCAATTGCCTTCATGAAATACTCATATGTACCTATCCAGAGAAAAAAATAAATCGAGATGGACAGATTCAATATTTTTGGAAGATGCTCATAAAATAAATGTTGGAATAATTAAAATATATTAATAAATGATTCAACACACTTTTACTAAATATTTTATATTAATAAATGATTACAAGTTTATACTATGTGGCTTCCATAGCATCACAGTAATTTTATCAAAACATGGTTAATTATACTGTCAGTCATAATGCAAGTGTAGTGGGAAACTGAGGAACAAAATGATGAATAGAACAAGGTGACAATTTTTTGGATTAAAACGTACATACAATAAGACTAAAATTTTCTCAATATATATCACATGTATATATTGAGTTATATAAATAAAATAAAAATTGTGATAAAGGCACATATTTCAAATAAGGAAATTATCTAGAGAGAGAGGATAGGTTCAAACTTACTGCCCTTTAAAAAGTTTTGTACTTTTACATAAATTCAGTTTTTGATACAGAGTCTCAATCTGTCACCCTGAAGTGCAGAGGGGTGATCACAGTTCACTGCAGTCTTGACCTCTAGGCTCAGGCTATCCTTCTTCCTCAGCCTTTCAAGTAGCTGGGATTATAGGCATGGACCACTACCCCTGGCTAACTTTTTGTAGAGATGAGGTCTCACCATATTGCCTAGACTGGTCTCAAACAACCCAGCCATCTCAGTCTCCCAAAGTGCTGCAATTACAGTCATGAGTCACTGTGCCCAGTCTATTTTTACAAAATTTCTTAATTTGATTTTGTATTACTTTCATAAAGTTGTCAAAGAATGACATCAGTGATGAAACTGTAAACAGAGGGTATATTATTTCAATACTAGGTGATGAAGAAAGCTCCGGGCAGCAAGCCAGTGTGACAAAACAATTAGAATACAAGTTACATTAAATGTGGCTACAGGTATCTGGAATCACACAGACTACGTGGGTGTCTCCATAAACTACCTAAAATAGTCGTACAATGATATTAAAAAGTGATGTCATAAGTTTCAAATTACATTTTCGAAAAATGCTTGGCAATAAGTGGTCTACACAAAGTTTGATTTTTTTTTTCCTTTTCAAAAATAATCTTTTTAAAATAATCTTCTACCCCAGTGACTAGGATCTGAAAGTAAACTTGTTACATTGGAAAAGGTTGGTCATGTTTAAACAAGAGAAGGAAAAACCTGATTTTTAAACAAAAGGAATGACAATAACAAAAAGATGGGTAAACAATTTTACCATGATATTTAGGAAACTAGGAAACTTTGGTTCTATGTATCTTACTTTTCTGTGGATGGATACGTTGATCAATGTGGAATTATAGAATGAAATTAAATTTAAAAATTGAATCAGATCAGAAAGCACAAGTTAGATGAATTATTTATCAATTTCAAGCAAACGTATATTCAGAGAGATTTTTAAAAATTGTTTTAACCATGTGAGTGAGCTACTCAAAAGAGTGACACTATCTCCACTGCAGAATAGCCTAGTAAACCTCCACCACTGTGGAGCATTTGCACTGCAAAGTGAAGACAAGGGTCACTGCAAAATGAAAATGAAGGTACCTCACAGTAAGTTATAAAAAGCACATTAACTTAAATGTAACAGTATGATTTCAGGGTAAAATATGTCACAACTAAATAATGGCTTAAAAATACTCATTCATTTATGCAACTACATAGTGCATAATTCTGCATTATAAATAGGATTCTCAACAATATTTTACAGAAATCCCAAGCCACAATACCAGATTCCTGAATGTCAGTAATTCTTAACTTTCAGCTTTGGAGGTTTTTTTGTTTGCTTGTTTTGTTTTAAGGAGAAATACTAGAAAATTTAGGAAAACTTTACATTGGGTGTAAAAGATTACAGAGCTAAAGAAATGTAGATATAAATGATTCCTCTAGAAGTAATGTTGTTCAGTGCTGGCATTCAGAGGATGGCCCAGATGACTCTAAACTGGGCCATCCTAGTTTAGAGGATGGCCCTAAACTAAAATAATTCGATGGAAAACTGCCTTAAACAAACACAAGTTACTTAGTAGAACTAAAATGATATAAAATTAAAGCCATATAATGCTACTTTCCAAGAACCTGTATTAGTAATTATGATATTATAAATCAAGAGTCTGGGTATAATATTTTATATGTTGTCTCCTCTGACTACAGTGTAATAGCTCTGTTTCATTTATTTCTTTTACTCACATATATATGCACACATACACATTTGCACAAATATGTACACTAGAGGTCCTTTATTTCATATTACAAATCTCCTTCCAAAGAAACTGAATGAATAGGTTAATTTAAACACATCTGCTACTCCAAAAAATGTTATAATACTTGATTTTTTTTTATCCTGAGTTGATTCTACCAATGTTTTCAGTAGTATTTACTGTGCTGTTACTCTTGGTGATGAAACAAAATTTTCTTCACAGGAAATGGAAGACTTTGTCCAGAGTTCTGGAGAAAATGGTGTTGTGGTGTTTTCTCTGGGGTCAATGGTCAGTAGCCTCACAGAAGAAAGGACCAATGTGATTGCTTCAGCCCTTGCCCAAGTCCCACAAAAGGTTAGATAAAATGCCTCAACAGTGGAAAACTACTGAATAAGTCTGCTTAACTCTTTAAAGCATCATTATAGAAATTTTCTGCCAAAACATTAGCTGATAGGACAGCTCTAATTATCTTAGCTGTGTCAGTTCAAAATACAAAATATATATGGAAGATGCTAACATAATAAAGATGGGGTTTTTATTCATAATCACTTTGGCGTGAACATTGTTATAATATATATATACATATATGTATATATATATATATATATATATATATATTTATTTATTTAAGAGGTGTGGGTAGTTTTTAGTATTTTACCACGGTATTGCCAGCAGGTACATAGGAATGACCAGACTCTGCCCTGTCACTTGATCCTTTTGTACAGGATTCCTGAGAACACAGTAAAAACTACAGCTATTTTCAGAAAGAAGTAGTTTTATTGAATAACTGCACTAGCACAATAACAATAAGTAGATATTAAAGTCTGAAATGCGTCATGAAGTTTAGGTTTGCCATGTACTCCAGCCTTTCCTACCTCCTGTACATTCTGGAATTGGACTATTTGGTATGTGGTTTACGATGCTATTCAGATAATAAATGTATTGCCTGGGCTGACAAACCACAGTCTACATATCCACGTAGGCAAGGAGATTTAGGGAAAGAGCAAAACTTGCCTGCCCTGCTGAACTGGGTCTTGTTAATGTCTTAAATAGAAAGATGTGCTAGAAAGGGAGAAGATTGGATCTTACACCTAGGGCAGGCCATCTGCATTATAAAGTGTGACATCCCAAGGACTCTGCTCTAACCTTCAAATTAATACCTTCTCCATACTGAGGAAAGGAAAAGAAATGTGAGTCAAGCAAAAGGAAACCAGGCAAGGAAAGAGATTCAGTCCTCCCTACCCCACCATAAAATATAGTGGGAACTTACTTTATAATATATAGAATACCCCTGCAATCTTTGCACATTTGTAAAATACTTTTTAATGTCCTATCTAACATAGTTTTCTTCCAATGACCTATACTCTTTTTTTTGCTGAAAATTTAGAGCTACTTTACACAAATAGTTAATAGAAGACAAACACTTGAAAACTATACTGCAGTTTATATGGATTGCTTGGGAATTCTAAAATAAGTACTTTATTTTGGTGCTAAGCATGTCAATGGCTTGGCTATACCAGATCACATTAATAAATTGTTATCAATGCTTTGTACTAAAGCATCTAGGTGTTAATGATCAGGTAAGCCAAATGTAGCAAAATACAGTTTCAACATGTTACTCATAAATTGCCAACTGTCTCTTTTTTCCAACATTGGAAAAAATTATCAAAAGCAAAAATACTGCTAATACTTTGAATTCATGTCAAAAACTGCATCTTGAAGTTTTTCTTGGAAGTAGCACTTAATAATTTGTAACCTACAAGAAGTCATGCATATGACCTATGCTGCATTGACTTATTTCTTACAAGTAATTGATTTTTTAGATTTGTATTTTGGAAATTAAAAGATATCAAATGCTAATAAAATAGCCTGTAGACAAGTAGATATAAATAAACTACTCATAGTGCTCAGCAACAAATAAATTAATATTAAACTTTCAGGATCAAAGCTAGCATAAAAACAAAAGGAAATTTATAGGTCACTCCTAATTTAATACTGTTTTTGGCACTATTATTATAATGAATGCCCAACACATTCTAAATACTTGAATTTTTCTTGGATAATTGCATTTGTCTAAGCCATTATGTTTGAAACATCGTGACCTTCTTATATAAATTGATGATAAAAGTAATCACCTGATGTGATATTCTTTTTACCTTAGATGCTTAGTAGTGCTCACTTCTTAACACCCCTTGTGCTCATTTCCTCATTTTTCTGTTTGCTTTCGTTTTTCAAAATTTTTTTTATTTTAAAGATGCGGGGTACAATTCAGGTTTAGGTATTCAAATGTTCATTATTCAGGTATCCTTGTTGATGATCTGTACCACTCCATCTCCGGCAGTTTCCCACTACTGCCGATTCTGTTCCCCCGTCCCCTCCCCGGCACCCTCCTACTATTGTCAATCCCTTTCTTTTGGTATTATGATAATTGTTCAAGGTCTGCTTATTCCCTCATGTTTTATATGTAATTTGTTTAACTAGATAAGGGTTATTCTCTTTCGCATTCCAAAATGAAATTCCACTCATGGAATTAGTTTTCTTTTTACTCTAACAGGTTATATGGAGATTTGATGGCAAAAAACCACACACTTTAGGACCCAATACTCGGCTGTACAAATGGATACCCCAGAATGACCTTCTTGGTAAGACTGAAGAGAACAAATACTTAATATATGAGTAACAGTCAATCAGAGAGATTCAAGTTCAACAGGAAACAAGGTTACTGAACATGTATTACTGGAAGTTCAAACACAAAACCAAACTATTTTCCATTTATTTTCCCATAATACAGGGAAAAGGGTAAACTAGCACAGTTAAAGTTTTATTATATACATTGACATATTTGTGGCCAGAATCAAGGTTTCCTCATTTGGGGTAAAAAAAATTATTTCACAGAGAATTTTTCAATTACTACTTGCATTATCTCTCTGTCTCTTATTACTACAAATCTACATCTGTCCTTTCCCCTACTGTATTAAATGTCATTATTTCAAATGCCACTAAAAATAACAGCTCTCTTCTATTACCTTTGACTCTGCATTTACTATGAAATTTAAGTCTACAGTTTTTATCATACAATGGTCACACATTTTATAATGAAGTGTATCCTGCCATTCTTCTGATTTTAGCACCATTAATACCCCACTCCCTGCTATCCTGGACACTCTACACATAAGAGTTGATGACAGCACTATTTTATTTAAAAGAACATGTTCTTACATGCTCAACATTTTTCTTTTTCTTTCATTTTTTTTTTGGAAATGCTATCTTCTTTTTACAGAATATGCTTTTTAAAAAATTTTGTTCACCTTTTAATTTTATATTCCTATTTCCAGTCTCTAGTCATGCAAAGCATATATTCTATGTAGCCTTTACATGCCTCTTCAGTAGAAATAGGTGTCACTGTCTCTAAAATCTGAAAGCAATTTCAAAGCAGTTCCATGGATGTAGTAGTCTGCTATCTAGAAAACATTGTGTCTTTCAGTATCTTATTTTGAGCATTTCTAATTTTGCTTATAAGACTTATAGTAAATAACTTTGCTAAAATTCATCCAATCTTAGGTCATCCAAAAACCAAAGCTTTTATAACTCATGGTGGAACCAATGACATCTATGAGGCGATCTATCATGGTGTCCCTATGGTGGGCATTCCCCTGTTTGCCGATCAACTTGATAACATTGCTCACATGAAGGCCAAGGGAGCAGCTGTTAAAGTGGACTGGATCACTATGTCAAGTACAGATTTGTCCGGTGCATTGAAGACAGTCATCGATAACCCTATGTGAGTATAACCATTTCTTTTTAGTAGATGGTATATATTGATAGATTCTCTTGTCAACAATGAATATGGACTTAAGATGGTCAAATAGAAACAGTTATAGAGAGCATCTCCCATGGAGTGAACCAAAATAGTGAGATTGTCTCTCACTCAGAGAAGAATGAGATCAGAAACACACCCCATGAGTCACTAGAGAAGCAACAACACTCACAAAGTGCAAAGAAGATAAAAATTGATTAGCCTCAGCTGGATCTAAGCATGCTGACCCAACTCACTGTACAAACTACAAGCAGCCTCCAGATGCAGTAAGGAAGGTAAGTAAAGGGAATTCAGGAGTTTTGAGTGCCTGTTGCATAACATGACATAAGAAGGATCTAATGTACCCCTGAGCCTCACAGAGCTCCAGTCCCTCACAGGAAATTATTTACTCACACACATGTGATGCCAAAACCCTAGTGGAGTAATGCAAGAAAAAAAGCCCTGAGTGGCTCAGCTACCATCTTCCAGACATTTAACCTAGCTGACAACTGTTTCTAGCCAGGTTTTGCAAGGAACTGGAATACCTGATTCTTTCATTTGCCTCAAGTACAAGTTCCGTTGTGGAAGACAGCTCTTGACTGGGGCAAACACTCATGAAAAGACCTGGGACTGGCCATACTTTCACAAACTGAATGCAGACTGCCTGAGGCTAAGGCAGAAAAGCTGGGTGGGACTCATTATCCTAACAACCTATCACTTTCCACGTAAACTCTTTTGTCCAGTCTCTGCACAACACAGGCGCATTACCACAGTGGCTGGGGACTTTATCACAATCATGCACACAGGTGAGAATTTTGAGCACCTGTCCCCCTGAAAAACCCTGAAAGGCTCAAAACAGACAGGGAACTTGGGTAATCCCCATAGGCCCATCCATCATATAGATTAGTTGAGGAGTTCCTTAGGGCAACACAAACCAAACAGAAGTTCACTGCCACTATCACAGCCAGCTCTAGTCCACAAGTATCACTTCCTGACTCATTATATCTGGTATAATACCCCAGGTTTTGGGAAGGTCTGATTTCAAACCCCAGTTAACACCACTATCCAAGCCACCCCTGCTACTCTGGATGCCTTAACCTGTACAGATACCCAGCACAACACTGCCACATCTGACAATGAAGAAACTCTTCATACCAAGGCTATATATAACTAAGGGCACCTTACACTGTTTATGTCAGCACCCTGAAGAAATAGTCTACCTAAATGAGAATGAATGAAAAAATAATTCTGGCAATATAAAAAAAAAACACCCCCAAAATACCATACTATCACATCAGCAATGGACCATAATCAAAATGAAATATTGGATAGTCCAGAGATAAAATTTAAAAGGTTCATTATACAAGTGATCAATGAGATTCAGGAGAAAGTTGAAACCAACATAATGTAATTAAAAAAAAAATCAGCACATAAATTGAAAATTATCCAAAGAGATAGATACGTTTATAAAAAGCCAAGCTGAACTTCTGGAAATGAAACACTAACTTAAGGCAGCACAAAATTCAATAGAAAGTTTTAACAGTAGACTAACACAAATAGAAGAATCTCGGAACTTGAATACAAGGTCTTGCAGTAATCCACTTAGCCAGCAATAAAGAAAAAGAAATTGAGAGAACAGATCAAAGTCTCCAAAAGATGTGGGATTATGTAAAATATCTAAAGCTAAGAATCACAGGTGTTTCTAAGGTAGAAGAGAAAGCAACAAATTTGGAAAACTTTTTTGAGGGAATGTTTGAGAAAAACTTCTCTGTTTTCTCTGTTAGTCTCATAGGGTTACCTTAGCTTGCCAGAGCTTTACACATTCAGATCAAAGAATCTGAAAGAGCCTGAGCCCAGGGGTTCAAGACCAGTTTGGGCAATTTGATGAGACCTCTTCTCTACAACAAATAAAAAACATTAGCCAGGTGTGGCGGCATGTGCCAGTAGTTCCAGCTACTTGGCACAGGTGAAACGATTGCCTAATTCTAGCAAGTCAAGGCTGTGGTGGCCATGAGTGTTCCACTGTACTCTAGCTTGGATGACAGAGTGAGACTCTGACTCAAAAACAAAAACAAAAAGCCCAAAGAAGATTGAAGATTTATTGCAGAAAGTCCTCTCCAAGGGATATGGTCATCAGATTATGCAAAATTAATCTGAACAGTGAAACAAAAGAATCTAATAACTTACTAAGGTAACCCTATGAGACTAACAAAAGGCTTCTCAGCAGAAATCCTACAACCAGAGGGGATTGGGCCCTATCTGCTATCACCCCAAGCAGAATAATAGTCAGTCAGAGATTTTGTATCCTACAAAATTAAGTTTCATAAATGCAGGAGAAATAAAATATATCCCAAACAAGCAAATGCTGTAGAAAATTTTCACCACTAGACCAGCTCCACGCCACAAGAAATATTTATATACTTATTTATTTATTTATTTATTTATTTTTTAAAAATATAGACACTTTTGTTTCTTTTTTTTTTTTTTGAGTTGGATTCTCACTCTGTCATCCAGAATGGAGTGCAGTGGCCGCTCCCGGCCACCGCAACCTCGACCTGCTGGGCTCCAGTGATCCTTCCGCCTCAACCTTCCAAGTAGCTGGAATTACAGGCATGTGCTACCACGTCCGGCTGATTTTTTTATTTATTGTAGAGATGAGGTCTCGCTGCCCAGGCAGATCTCGAACCCACGGGCTCAGGCAATCCACTCACCTCAGCCTCCCAAAGGTGCGGGATTACAGGCTGGGCCACCAAGCCCGGCTCACAAGAAATATTTAAATAAGCTTTAAATATTGAAACAAAAGGTATAAATACACCAATAGAAAAACAGTGGAAATCATAAATCTCACAGGGCTTATAGAATATCAACATAACGGAGAAGAAAGAAGCGACTAGGAAACAGTCATAAAATTATGCTTTGCACATAATTACTAACCCTGAATTTAAATAACTTCAATGCACCACTTAAAGGATATAGAATATCAGAATGCATTCACACACACACACACACACACACACACACACACACACACACACGCATATGCATACACTCCAAATATCTGCTTCTGTCAAGAAACCCACATAAAACAAAAGACACCTATAGACAAGATAAAGGAGTGGGAAAAATAATTATGGAAATGGAAACCGGAAAACAAGCAAGAGTAGCCATTCTCATGTTAGATAAAACAGATATTAGAGAAGAACACTGAGACACACAAAAGGGATGAGAAAGAATGGGCAACTGTTTTGGAGCTAGGAATCCCCCTCCTAAAAAATAAATAAATAAAACAAAACAAAACAGAGAGCAGCCTCTGGATGTGGGAAACAGTGAATGAGGAATATTAGGATGTGGGACATACTCCTGCCACAAACTGGAAAGGGCCCCTGAGCCTCAAGAACTCCAGTTCCACATGAGAAACAGCCTGGATACAGTCCAGTTGCATGCTGTCAGAGCCCATGTGGAGCTGGAGACCCATCTGAGCTTTGAACATCTATGACCAAATCATCTTTGAGAACTTGTTTCCTGCAGGCAGTGCTCATGTGTTGACTCTGAGACTGGGAAAGAAGCCCAGGACAGCTACCCTTACTCACCCCAAAGGCAGGTTCTGCCACTGCAGACAGCTCTGGTTTGAGGCAAGCTGCTGTGAAAGACCCTAAACCTGAAAGAACTTTTGAGTTCTGAATGCAGGCAGCCTCTAGCAAGGGAAGAGAAGCCAGGAGAAGCCCTATCATCCTGATAACCCCTCTCTCCTTATGTGAATGCTTCTGTGCAACAGATAGCTCTACAAATACTCCAGTACAGCCACAATGGCCAGGGGAGAAATCCCCGCCACCAACCCCCAAATCCCACTGAGTGCACACAGTTGAAGATCAGGAATGAAGACCAACCAGTTCCAGCCCGGGAAAGATCCTTTGAGTTCTGAGCATGGATAAGCTTAGACAATGGATGGGGCTGTCAGGGTAGCAGGGGAGGTGGGGGGCCTGTCAATCTGGCAAGCCCCATTTCTCTTATGAACTCCAGTACAACAAAAAAAGTTCAGTCATCCATATAGCATGACCACAGTGCCCAGGGGGCCTGTTTCTCATTGGGATAGCCAACCATGCCCACACAAGGGGAGCTGGAGAGTGATCCGGTCCGACCAAGCCCTTTCTAGCCTGCTTTTTCCCCCACTCTCTCAAAAGACCTAAGACTAAGAAACTTTAGGAGTTATATAGTCTTGCTCATTGCCCAGGTCATCTGCACACGTCCCTGGAAAAACAAAGACCAAGAAAAAAAGCCCACAACCACCATCATGGATGACTGTCTCCTGTAAGTGTCCCCTCCTGGCTGTAGATCAGCTTGCACAGCCCATTACAACATCTGAGACACTAATACAGCATTTAAGAAGGTGATAACAACAAAGTACATCTTGCAGGCTAGTCCATAAAACGAGGCATCAGAGAACTTCTCCAAAGGGTTCTCCAGAGGTATTGGTGACCAACTCCTCTTAGAATTTAACCTTTGTGCCTTCACATAATGGAATATCTGGCAGGCACCCTTCAACACCAACCAAATGATGCCCATAGGGCAGCTAAACACGGAAAAGAAACAGGACTCACCATGATCAGGCTGTCATGGACTACCAACCCCAGGTAAGTGGGAGTACACCACACCAGGGAGCATACTATGGAATAAAACAAAACATTCTTCAAAAGGTCATTCCAACAGTAGCAACTTTATTTAATGAAAAAAATGACAAAATAAAGCCAAAAAAAAAGAGAAAAGAAAAGAGCTTGTCCTCATAGTTGAGGAGGAACCAGTGAAAAACACCAGCAATCTTCAAAGTCTTAATGAATTATCACTTACAAAAAGACCTCCTAGATACAAAGCAATAGAGTTCATCCAGAATGAGCTGTTCCTAATGACAGACATAGAATTCAGACTATGGCCGGGCTCGGTGGCTCAGCCTATAATCCCATGCTTTGGGAGGCTGAGGTGAGTGAATT